CTTTGAATTCCTCACTGAAGAAACAAAGTGCGCAAGTTCTTTCAAATTCTGTAAAATTCAGTAGTATCTTCTGTAAAATTAAGTGGTTTCCTGTTCATATAAATCAACGTTAGGACAGTCAGGCAGTGATAAATAGTCTGCTAGCAAGTAGAACTAATAAAAACACCTTTTCAAGAAATTATTATTTTATCTCATATTCAGCATATTATCCATACAGTCTGATTTCTTGGAGCAGTTTTAGCTTTTGAGGTGTGTTTTCATAATGTAATTGAGTGTTCTCTTCAAAGTAGTAAATGACACGTTGCTTTTAGGTTTGATGAATTCGATGAGGCAATTGATGAAGCAATCGAGGATGATATCAAGGAGGCTGATGGAGGAGGTATGTTTCTGATATTACCTGTTTTTCATTGCAATGCTGATAAAATACTGAGACCAGATTTATTTTGATACTAGAGGCAACAAATGTAATACTCTCTTCTCAACTGCACACATTAGTTTTTCATAGGGTAGATGAAATAAATTCCCTTGTTAATGGGCATTCCAGGTTAAAGTTTTTGGTCTCGATATGTAAGTTTAGCTTGTGGATGCTTAGATGAGAGTATGTAAATAAGCACTGCAAGAAAAGTGTTAAAAATTATTCACTAAATTCTGAATAGAGATTCACTGGCAAGTTCTGATACTGACCTTCGTCACCTCTAGAAACTGAGCACAAGTTGGTCTGCAATTTACCCACTGAAAAATTGGTCCATAAAGCCTTAAAAATGTTAATTCAGATATGTGACCACTTCTAAACTGTGTTGTGAATAAAGTGAAATTATGTTCCTTGTTGTCTGCTAAGGCAACATAAGGGGGGAAAAAAAGATATTCTTCAAGAATATCTGAGAAATGTTGGACAGATTTTTTTCTTCTACATCACCTTAATCAGCCTGGCGAAAATTCCCATGAAATTGTTAATATTTCAGTTATATGATTTGTAACTTGGTGGATCGAAACAGGCAGCCTAAAAATCACCTGCTGTGACTGTAGGTGTTTTAAGACATCATATCATAAAATCAGCTCTTGAGCAACTCTGCTCCCTGGTCAAAGTGCAACTTCAAACTCTTCATCTTCTAAGGAGTCCACTTGTAAGATGTATTATTTATGAATTAATTATGAAGTATTATGAAGCAAAGATGAATTTCCTGATGTGTGTACCCCTCAAAAGGCACTAACTTTGGGTGTAATGTTGAGTTGAGGTTCCGTATCAGAATGCTGACCCTCACCTGCAGTCTTCTACACTGAGCTTGTTATTGCCAAGTGATCACGTCTGGGGCTCTGCATGTTAGGAACAAGACTCCAGACAAAGCCATGCAAGGCAAAAAAAAATGCATTTCCTTAACAGAAAAGGTTAGGAAACAGAAGCTGAGATTATTGGCCTGGAGGAAAACAAATATAAAGTTGAATTAAAAATTAACTTTTTTTTTCTCCTTTCTGTCTCTGACAGGCATTGGCAGAGGCAAAGACATGTCTAACATCACAGGTCACCGCGGCAAAGACATTTCCACAATCCTAGAGGAGGAGAGGAAGGAAAACAAGCGACCACAAAGGGCTGCTGCAGCACGTCGCAAGAAACGACGGCGACTGAACGATCTGGACAGCGACAGTAATCTGGACGAAGAGGAGAGCGAAGATGAGTTCAAGATCAGTGATGGGTAGGTCTGCAGCTGAGCTTCCACGACGAGTCACTGACACCTGCGGGTTCCTGTGATTCTGCAGCGCCCCTAAAACTGCCACAAGAATTTGTTATGGGATAATCTGCTCTCTAAATCTGTGCACTGGAATCTTCCAGCCTCTCCTGTAGGCAAAACTTGTGCTAGAAATTTTATTGGTGTGTTTGAGGCCCCGCTGTGGTATTCTGTGCACAGTTATGTTAGAGCCAGAGGTGCTCCAAGCTCTTGGCTGATGTAACATTCTAGCAGAAATCTTTAACAAAGATAGAGCTAAAAAAACACTGTTTCATACTGAAACTACAGCAGTCCTGTGGGATTTGTTAGGCCTGAATTCCCTATAAAGAATTGAAAAGTAAAATTTCTCCTTTTAGAACGTGTGAAACTTCACAGTTAGGTTGGGAAATCGGTTCTTGGCCTTTGCTGAGTCTTAGGAAGCACTCAAAGAGGCAGTTTATGGTGTGGAAAACAAATACGAGATGTGAAGCTTTAAATGGTGAATGAACATAGTGAACACAGCACTGACGAGTGGAAACTCTTCCCCTGGAGTTTCTCATTATCAATCTGGGGAATTCCTGATGTAAAAAAGAAAAAAAAATAGGCCCCTTCATGCTACATTAAAGATATAAAAGACATAAATAAAGGCATAATAAAAAGTAATGGAGGGGAGGGCTGGTTTCTTTACTATCAACATTCAAAGCTATATAGCCCTATAAAGTGACTGGTGATTTTTCACTTGTGACTGTGCTGAGGACTTTTCTGTGGAATAGCTGAGCTAAATGTGCTGGAAATTATTGGGCGTGCAGGAATCTCACAATTAATAGCGCTTCAAGTGTATCCATGCAATTTCAGCTCAGTTCTCTGCTAAATGCCTGTTGGATGAATTCACATTCAGCTGGCAGCCAGGTCAATATTCCATTGATTCCACGTGCGTTACTGTGAAAGCCAAGACCTGCTCTGTGTGTGTGACTTACCCGTGTTCCCATCGTATTCCCAAACTGGTTTCCCTTGGAACAGATCGCAGGATGAGTTTGTTATATCAGAGGAAAACCTGGATGAAAGCGAAGAGGACCCGCCGTCCAACGAGGACAGCGACTCCGAGTTCTGTGCCCGCGTGTCCCGGCGCCACCTCTCCAGGCCCATGAGGCAAAGCAGGCGGTTACGAAGGAAAACAGTCAAAAAAAGATACTCTGAAGATGATGAAGAGGAAGATTCCGAGGAGAACTCGAGCAGAGAGTCTGGTGAGTGCACTAAATAATTTAAAGTTATTAAGGACTCTGCACTAGAGAGAGGGAGGATGAGAGTCTCGGTTTCTTGGTGTTTTAGTAGTACGGAGCTACCTTCACAGTAGCTGTGTTGAGTTGTATGTCATCTCTGCTTCCTGGCTGGAAAGCAAATTAATAGTTGCTTGTCATTGGAATTAATAAGTGTAAAATCCACTTCATTTGGTACTTGTTTCACTTGCACAAAACTGTGGTGTTCAAAATTCTGTCTTCTCAGAGTGTTCTGCTGGGAATGCCAGGAAGGAAGCTAGTACTGAGCACTAGGTCCTTGGCATTTTAAATAAATATGTACTTAAATATATGCTCAATGTTATGATTCAAAAGGGCACCTTTTTGGACAGTTACAGGTGTCCCATACCGTCCTGTTCTGAACATGATTGCAGGGAAGGGTAAAGATGGAGATGAAAACTTACTTCTTAAATCTCTTTGAAGACCTTCTGAATACCTTTAAAAAAAGGCTTCTTCTGAAAAAAAATATATATACGTTTTCCTTCCCTTTGTGTGAAAGAAAAATTCCTTCAGCTGTAGTGAACTGTTGAGTGGCATCCTGTGCTGTCTGGCAGGCTTGAAGGCAAACTGTATAACACAATCTCTCTCTTCTACAATTATCTTTGTTGGTCCTTAGTCACTATAGATTCTTGCATCACAGGAGCACCTAAGAATTCACGTCCTTCTACTTGTCCTTCAGCCTGTTTATTTTCTGTTTGTACAATTTAAAATATGAAAATAATGCCTGGCCATGGACAAGACCAGTAGAACCAGCTTGAACCAAAAGGAGGGATTTTTTTTCCTTCTGTAGCTTTCAGTGATTAGCATCTTTTTATGAAGGTTGTTCTCCGTGTTTACCCCTCATTTGAGATCCAGTCCTATTATTGCCAAAAATCTTTAGCAGTTACTGTGAAACTATGATATTAGGTACGTTAGGGTGTTGACTTGCTGTCCGGGGTGTTTTACCTCCCAAGTCCTTCTGGAAGGACCCGTTGGAATAGGTTACCTTGAAGTTTCCAAAGGGAGTGTTAATGCGTGGACAGATGAAGACGGGTACGTACCCTTAAAATAGTTGCTGTCTCCCTGTCCTGAATGCATTGCAACACTAGCTGCAAGCTGTGATTAATGAAGATTAAGAACCAGAAGTCCAAAGGGATTGCTCATCTACTCTGCAATGCATAGATGCAACTTCATTTGTTTTCTGATGGATGTGTATGTGACCAAACCAGAACCCTGCACCAAACCATCAGGGACATCCTGCTTGGAAAAACAGCAAACGAGGAAAGCAGCTACAGTTGATTCATAGCTCTTTTCAGCTGTCGAAAATGTAAATAAGATGAATTCTTAAGGGCACTAGCTGCCCTTCGTTGGTGCAGGGAGAACAGGGAATGATGGTAAGTTCCTTCCGTAAAGTTTCTGCTTTGAGCAAATGTAGGAACCATTGAAGCCAGCTCTGTGGTTAACGATGTAAAGTTTCCAAAATCAGATCTTACCTGGAGCTCAGTTTCGTCTTGTCAGTATTTTTTTATGTACCTATTGTCAAAGCGTTTTGAGTAGAATGGAATTTATTTATATTGAAACAATGGACAGAGAGTACTTGCCAGGGAAAGTGAAACGTGTGTCGGTCCTCAGCTCGGATTTGGTCGGGTTGCTGCAGCTGGCAAGAATCCTAAAGGAGGCATCTTTGGCACCAGGATGTGAGAGAATGAAGAAGACAGGAAGGCAACATGTTCTGGAGGAGCTGGAGGGCGAAAAGAGGGAGGTTTGTGAGAAGACTTTTAAAAAAGGCTATTCTAAGATTGCAGCACATGGGGGAAACCAATGCGTAGGTCAAGGTAGAGGGACGTGATTGCTGAGGCTCTCCCGTGTTTGCAGAACACTTAATTTTATTGGAACTGACCTAAAACTTCCATAAATTGTGCAGTTTCATTTTAATGGAATAATGCACATGGCCTCTTTTTCTTTCTTTCTTTTTCAAACTTCTTTTTCTATACAGAAAGTGCTGATTACACAGATTACAGTGATGATGATTACCTGGAAACCAGGAGGAGAAGATCAAGGCGGAATCAGAAGAGACAAGTTAATTACAAGGAAGATTCCGAAAGCGACGGCTCCCAGAAAAGCGTCCGATACGGCAAGGAGTTACGGCGAGTGCATAAACGCAGGCTTTCCACTTCGGACAGTGAAGGTAAAATGAGCCGTGCACCATTCGCTGGCATTATCCTAAAGAGAGAAATAATGGGGAGTTCAGAAAGGAGCAGAGAGAAACCTCGTTCTAGAGTTCCTTAATGTTTCTCTGAAACTTCCCCTCTGAAACAATTCACTCATACCTAATAATGCAGCGTTGCAGTTACTTCTCCAAGACTTCGTTGTCCCTAATTCTGTCTTTGCAGCCTGAAATTGCCATGTCTGGGAGGAAAATTATGTCTGAGATGCCAAAATTGTAATTAATGGGATTATGCTGTCACTTTGCTGTTTAAGAGCTCACAAGGCCTCGTCCCGTAGAGCTTTCAAAGATTCTCTTCTGTAGGAGAAGAGGATCTTAATTCTGGCATTTAGCTGTGTTTGTGCTGGTAGTTTTGCTACCCTGTGTTGCTCTGTACTTGCTAAAGCTCATTCCACCCTCGGTTTAAGTACAGGTCATAGTTGCTATTTCCCTCACCAATAAGTCTGCTCTGAGTAATATGAGTTATAGAGCGGGACTGCTGTATTTTGATATAAAATAAGTGGTGACCAAAGTCTTTGCTGCCTGCATTTCTGGCTTTGAACAACTTCTGAGTAACGCTGTCTTTTTTGGGTGAAATCCATCCCATTTCTGTGGCGTTTTTGGTGCTGACTTTTTGCCTACTACAATCTGTCCCATTAAGTACCACTCCAGCATTTTCCCACAGCTCTGAGGTGATATTAAGTACATAACAATGTTACTGGAAGTGTAAGTATGACGCAAATACTGACATTCTGGCAACATCCCTAGCAGCTAGAACATACGTTAATATCTTTTATATATATGTCATGTGTGTTTCCAGTGGGGAAAAAACCAAGAGGAGTGCAAATAATGTTGGCTGTTTTTCTGTCTGTGGTTCCTCAGCCACAGGGTGATGCAAATGCTCTGAGTGATGCTGCTCTAGGCTATTCCTGCCACGTAGCCATCATCATATGGGGAAATTCACCTGCCTCGGAAGCCTCTGGCACTCCTCAGGTTGGAAACAAAATGCCAAATTATTGGTCTTTGCATCTTGTTTCTGTAAAAAGTAAAAGGAAGGCAGCTTTTTGACAAAGGTACCTCCTAGGGTTGGGGACACGAGGAAGGAGACTGAAGTGTGTCTTGTGAGGGAGAAGTGGCTTTTAGGAGCGAGTGCGGGTGTTTTGCCTGCCCTCAGATTTGCTAATGGCTTTAAGTCTGCTGCTTATTGCAGAGAGCTACACATCCAAGAACTCCGAAGACGACGAATCCGCCAAGGAGTCCAAGCGGCTGATCCGGAAGCGCAGGCGGAGCACGGACGAGTACTCCGACGGAGAGGAAGGGGAGGACGAGGAAGACGAGGGGAGGCCCGTCCGCAAGCGGCTGAACCGAATCGAGACGATGACGACGACGACTTCGACAACGTGGGCAAAGTGGAGAGCCCGTTGGACTACAGCCTGGTGGACTTGCCCTCCACCAACGGACAGAGCCCGGGTAAAACCATTGAGAACTTGATCGGCAAAGCCGGCGAGAAGCCCCCGGCGCCCAAGGACAGCACGGCCGCCGCCAGCCTGGCGCCCAACGGCACGGGCGGCGCGCAGGAGGCGGTGGGGCCCGAGGAAGATGAGGATGAACTCTTGAGAGTGACTGACCTTGTTGATTACGTCTGTAACAGTGAACAGTTATAAGACTTCCATTTTTGTGCTAATTTATTCCACGGTAGCTCATACCAGCGGGCCAGTTATTAAAAGCTGTTTTATTTTTCCTAGAAAATTCTCCACTACAGTATCACTTTTTAGAAGCAAGAATTTCACCAGTCCTGCAGTCTTTCTGTGAAGTGACCAGTTTTGAACTTTGAAGATGAATTGCTGTAAATTCCCTCTTTTACCCCCCTTTTCCTTCCAAGTCCATGGTCCTGGGTAATTTCACTCACACACAAAAAAAACCCTTATAACAACAAGAGATTTGTATATTTTTGACTTTATATTTCCTGAGTGCATATACAAATTTGTGCAAATGGGTGGCCTAAGAAGCATTCCAAATTGGTCAGGGCCCAAACCGGAATGGGGGTGGGTTTGGCTCATGGGGTGTGTTGGGGGGGTGGGTACAGAAGCACTTGTGCTTTAGCTTTTTCATATGAGATATATATTATATTTAAATGTTCACAACTTAGATTACAACTTAACAGACAGTTTAAAAAATTAATGTCTGTACTGTCGCATCTTGTGAGTTGTAGGTTAACATACCATAGCTCATTTTAGTAATCACCTTCCTGGAAGCAGTTTGATTTCTAGTACTGGAGGTAAACACAGCTAATAAAGAGGCCAAGAAGGTACCATAAACAAGAACTCTACTCTCCATTATGACTTGCAGACTTTCCTAATAAACATCCTTTAAAGTGTTTGTACAGTAGAGTGTACTGTAATGAACTTCCTGGCAGTCGGAACGTGCTAGCAGTGAATTTCTAAAGCCGTCTCACGCGTAGCCCATCAGACGGTCTCTGGTACCCAGCGTCTCGGGGAGGACGTGTGGAGATGAAGCTGCTCCGTGGCTCGGATGGCATCGTGACAGGCTGCTCTCACAGACACCCCAACCCAGCTGCTGCCCGGCCGCTTGCGCTGAACCATCTGCGGGAGCGTCTGGAGTGACTCGTGTCCGTACGTACCGCAGCGCTGACCGCAGGATTCCGGCGCACCAAACGATCGAGGGATTTTCAAATAAGCCGCGACTGGTCCATTCGTGTCCTTAATATCTACTTCAAATTGAAGTAAACAAATGGAACAGTTTTCCTTTTGGAGGTTTTTCTGTTTGGGGTTTGTGTGTGTTTTCGTTTTGATTTTCCTTATCTGCCTGGATTTTGAATGTAGTGTCGGCCTTTGGCCATTGGAACTTTCTCAAAATGCATTTTAATAATCGTCATGTGACCGACAGATTTCAAGAGCGCAGAGTATTTCTGAGAGAAAACGCAGGGCTCCAAGACATCAACATTTCAGGGGGCATGAAGTGTTTTGTGCTTTTCTTTCATTTTTTTTTTTAAAAAGGAAACTAAAATAGAAAAGGAAAAAAAAATGTGGAGCACATAGGAAAGAGCAAAGCTGAAATTTGTTTTGGGTACCATTCAGTTTTCTCTTTATTCTGAATTAAGATACAGGCTGTAGCATTTGTACATGTCGTAGCACACAGCTAAAGCAAATCTGCCAAATGGTGAAATCCAAAAAGGTCACATCTATTAATCCTTCTGCTCTGAGATTTGGATTTTTTTGCCTGGTGTTTATGTCCGTTGCCGGCAATGGATGCACCAAAACTGCTGCTGCCACCGAGGAGTGAGTTCTCCTTTCCTGCCCCACCTGGTTCCCTACCATTATATTGTATTTACTAGTTAGTCATTAAGCACTTCTGTTTTCTTGTAATAAAACTGGCATTAGGCCTTTACTAAATACCTCTGTAGGAAATCTAGATCCAAAAATACCGACCTTCTGGCCTTGAGCGTCTTGTTTTGGTTTCCCCACCTCTCCCCGAGTTCTATCAGAACCGCTCCGTAACTCCTGCGTCCCTGGATTACTGCAGTCCAGGTATCCTGCTATGGAACTAGAATCATCAGAGCTGCAAAAAGATAGAAAACACATTCAATATTTGCTATGCCAGCCACGCTGGTGACTAAAAATAATTTAAAAAAGAGAAGTCACTCTCTAAATGAGAATTTAATTCCTTTAAAGATTAAATATTTTTCCACCTGGTCTATGTTAACTATTAACAGTTTTCACAACCAGATGCTAAAACAGGCTAGGGAAAAGGCACAGAAGTTTTGAATGTGCTCTGAAAGGCATAAGTAGCATTTTAAGCTACTTTTTGCCTGGGTGATGCATAAATGCTTCTACATTTCTAATATACTTGTGTTTTAAAACAAGCGAGAACATACGGCTTCTACTTTTCAATGTTAATAATTGCTCAACATTTTTAATATTTGCAGTGCAAACTGTCAAATTCACGTGCAGCAACACTGGGCAACCAATGATTTCTCATTTGTTTTGTCAGTGCCATAAGATTTTATTTTGCTGCCTGATGGAGCCTTCTAGTATCTGATCAGTGCTGTAGCCAATGTTCTTGCTTGTAGTCGGCTCCAAATGATAAGTATTTAGCGGGCAGGCAATTGTAATTGTAGGAAAATATAAAGGAGTTAAAATACTGACCATAGCAACCAGGAAAACAACCGAGTACTGAGTTAAGTAAAAGCGGAAATGATCGGAAAGCAGAATTGGAGCATTGAAGGAAGGTCAAGTTTTGTGAATGTGGAAAGAGAAATTGTTACAAGTTTTACTTTCTATGGGTCACTTTTATAAATTTACTCTTCCGTGTTTGAGAAGCCATGTTTGCTACCTGGGGCACCTGCATCCCCTTGGGTCCCGAGTACCAGCTTAGATCAGTGGGAAATCTTATCCAAGTGGAAACTGTGGAAAAAACCCCCACAATTCCTATGTTTTCAAACTTGTATCTTTTCCCGTTTTGAAGACTTCCTGCTTGGTGGAAAATGTACAATATCTTACCGGGAAAGACGGTGTTTTCTGGCATGGGGGCAGCTGATGGTGCCCTCGGGGGTTCCTGCTGCTGTTGACGTACGTGTGGTCCCACGGGGGAAATGTCCTCCAGGCGTTCGGGTGTCCTTGGCGTGTTGGGCTCTTCTCTGTCCCTCGTGACATCAGGAATGAAATGTCTTTCCATGCTCGTCTTCAGGCGCTGCTTCAGACTAATGAGAAAGTGTTCAAACCATATGAGAAACAGAATAAAACTGGCCAGGGATTTTTTTAACGTGATGGATTGAACAGCAGGAGAAAAACAGCTATTGACTGATCATATAAAACATTTATTAAACAAATTCTTGTTTATTCCATACAGGTTGTCACTAAAAGTGTTTTTTTGTTGATTTTTTTTTTGTTGTTGTTCTTTTAACTGAACACTCCTCAGTGTAACGGGTTGGGAAGAAATGATTTTTAAGTGCAGTTTTTGTACTGGAGAGGGAAAGAAGCTATAACTTGAGTGGAGGAATGGACTTTGTGTGTGCGTGACACAGCTCGGGCAGATCAGTAACATCAACTCTGTATGAGATCTGAGTGTTAACCAAGCCAGAGAAGTTAAGAACTTAAAATTTCACTGCAGTTGTTGTCTTCTAGCTATTCAGTTTTCTAATCCTAAGCATACTTGTGATTTTAAAGCAGAAAACACTCCCAGACTACCAAAAATAAGCCCCATGGTGTTGCAGTCTTGTAGGAAGATCAGTGCTGGGCAATCCACCCTGAACACCTGAGAGTTTGAGCCTGTGCATGTTAAATTACATTATCACATCCTACTGGGTTTTGTTTTGAATGAAAAGATGCTCTGTCCTAGCAGCACTTGAGAGAAACAGCGCTGCTTTTTTCTAAATTGTGGCTGCTCCATCACCCTTGAGGTATGTCTGGATTAAAGGCTCTCGGTTCCTCTTTGTGTAGTGGCAGCTGGTGTCTTAGTCTGACTTGTTTTCTGTTTCTTTTTGCTACCTGCTCTGTCCGAAATGCAAGACGTTACTCAAAGAACCTCAAGGCAAATATGTTCACAAAACAAGGATGTTCAAAAAAAAAAGGATGGTAGTGGTACAGTTGTCTCCATTTAGCTTATTATTTATCATTTGAGCTCTACTGGTATCCAGATGCTGTAATAATTTTAATTTTACAGATGTTTAATAATTTTAATAGTGCACTGTTAGGGTGTCCATTATTTACCTCTGTTTTCAGGCACTTACAACCTGGTTTTCAGGCTCTTCAGTAGGAAGGGCTGGTCTAAAGTTTTCAAAGAATTGTTTCAAACTGCATATTTTCACAAACTTCTTGTATGAAAGGTAAACAAGGGAAACATTTTTATGGCACCTGCTTTTTAAAATCCACTTTGTGCACAGTAAGCTAGATTATGGCAGTCATGCTCCCCAAATTGGTCAGATCAAGATATTTGTATTCTCTATTTCAACATGGTAATTTAAGCCTTGAAAACTGGTTCTGGTACATGTGCAGTGACTACTATTCCGAGGCTTCTGTGATGGATATTATGTGTAGTGTGAACCCTAGATACATTATTTACATTTGAAGAAGGCTTACAGGTCACTGGGTATATAAAATCCTTAAATAAATTTATTAATAATAATTTTAAAAAATCAAATATTTTCAAACAAGCAATAACTTTCTGAAGCCAACTATTGCATTCTGGTGGAGAAAACTCCAGCAATTCATGTGGAAGAGCACAGCTCTGCCTTTCCTTAGGCATTTAAAGCTTCCATGGAAGCACTTAGGACTCTTGTTTGAAATACTGATTTGCAAGATCAAGCCCTCTTTTCCTGGCAATCTTACTTTTTTCCATAACAGTTGAGGTATGAACTACATCTCTTAAAATGTTGGAAGATGGGGAAAAAAGAATTTTGTTCTAGCATATACTGATGCAAGAAAAAATCTAATTAACTAATTTTGGATGCCTTAGAGTTGGGTTCTCCAGCATGAGGACCAACTAGAGCTCTGGCTTCAGAAATATTCACCGAGAGTTATTCCTGAGGTCAGAAATGCAACAGTTGAGGTATTGAAGATCACTAGTCACTTCTAAACCTGTGCATCACTTACCAAGTTAGTTTAGATCAGGTTAAAATAACTGATAATTCCAAGCAGCAAAAACGAGTGTGCTTGGGAATTAATTGTCCAAAAGCTTCAGAGTAATTTAACTTATTTTGTATATTGCAAAAGATGTATATTGCGTAGCGTGATGCTTAAAAAAAACTGTACAGCTTCTGGGGGAATGAACAGAACACTCTAAAGTAGGTAAGTTTTTATAATGGAATACGTGGTGTAAAGGCTCCAGTTATAACTGCAATTAAAAGGAAGTTAAGTCCTACAACTTGGGTTTTTGCCTATCATTTTTGTAAATGCTGGTACCCCACCCTTGAGCTGATATTCAGGAGAGGGGGCAATACAGCAGAGAGAGAGGACACGGGCTTAAAAAAGACCTGTGTGTCTGCAAATGTATCTACCATAGCCCCAAGGTTCCTGAGGAGCAGCGCGGGGCGGGAGCTGCCCCGCGGCTGCGGTTCGTTTCCGTGCACTCTGCAGCACTTTGTGAACAGTCGGTCCCGCTGCTTCCCCGCGCGCAGACCGAGTCGCTTTCTCCTGCCGGCCGGATGCGCTTCCGAGGAGCCGCAGGAGACGGGGAGTGGGTGAAGTGGAAGGGGAAAATGGGGATGCAGCCCCATGCAACTCGCAAGCCAGGTCTTAGATGAGCCTAAAACCGCTTCGGACTTGTCCTTTAAGGACTATACTTCAAACGGAAGGTATTAAAGAAAATAATCCTGATACCCTCCTTTTCTCACCCTGATCGTGGTAGCTAGAGGCCCTGCGGGGGTTGGTTAGTCTGTCTGAACTTGAATGACTTGAAGGGGATAAAATTCTTCTACTAAGCCTACGATAGGCCTGGCTACCAGGGCACCATTTCCTAGAGCAATATAAGGTCCTTTCTAGAGACTAAGCTGCTGCCTAAGTTAGTGGTAGGAAATTGGATCGTAAAGCTGCCTGCCTTGCTTAGTTTTCCATTTCATACTCCTTATAGGGACTCTAAATTATTGTACAGTATCTTATTCCTATATTATATTCATTATAAATGGTAGTCCTCCCCCTAACTTTGGTTAAAATGATTTGTTTTAAATGCCAGCACAGTTCCTACCTGCGTCTCACAGTCCTCCTTAAGAACAGATCTGTAGCAGCCATGAGATGGTCTTGGAGTGACTCAACGTTTAGTGTTAGCCGTTCTTGGTGTGTGTGATGGTCTCAAATAGGCACCAACGCTGTTTATCAGACGTGAACACGAGGTATTTTCTCTGTCCCCGTTAACACGGAGCAGGTCATTGCTAGCAGAATAGTTACCCTCCAAATCGCTGTGAGAAGTAGATCAAAACTGCCAGAGAGGTCTCTTAAAATTTACAGTGTACTTAGGTGAAATGCAGTTTAGTCTTACTCCTGTGTGCTGTTTCTACAGGTGCAAAGAAACCCAGAGTTCCTTAAAAACGGCCTCGTTGGTCTCATTTTTGTTTCCCTGGAGAGCTAAATGCGAGTTCCCAAAGCTTGGCTCTTTGTAGAGTTTAACCCTTGCATTTCTTGAGTCCTGAACCCTGATTTTGAAATCTCTTTGCAATCATGACTTGCTGCAGCGTCAAAGGGAAAGGACTGAGGGACACGCACACTGTGTGTGTGGGAGGGGGGGAAGAGACGTCGAAAAACTGGAAGTGTTATTCTTGTTGCACATAAATTAGGTGGTGCTTTCACTGGCTCTTTTTTCCCCATGAATAATATCACATGCATGTAAACATGATGAATTAATTTGTTTTTTAAACGGAAGTCATGGTGGCCTCAGTGCTCAAAGGGTTAACTGCAGTTTAATAACAGCTAATGTTTTTAGATTTGCAGTACGCAACTGTTTAAATACTGTATTCCTTGTAAATGAAGTAAAAAAAAATGTTAAGGCTGGTGCCAATATTTTTGTTAATGAATTGTTCAGCGTTGTCTCTCACTACAGTCTGGTCAGATCTCTGTGTATAAGCTGGGCCTGAAGCCATTTTATAGCTTGTAGGCCTAATTGTGTAACTTTTCTTTCATAATGTTTTTGTTATAATATCTACTGTCATTTCTTTCATATAAATATGACATGTAAATTGTCATAATAAAAAAATGAAATAACTTGATGTACAAAGTATAATGTGTATTGAAGAAGTAAGGTTGCTTTTTAATCATGATGGTCCACGCACCTCCAGGAGGGATTTGGTTTTGCCTTTTAAAATAATGGCTGCTGCACTTTATTCCACCTTTCCCGGTGATACCACCTTGGAATTTGGTGTTGGTTTTTGTTAGGACAGTCCAGCTGATGGTGTTTTTTCCCTTGAGCAGCTGCAGCTGATAATGCCGAAGCCTTGGAGGGATGATTTTCCTACTTGTGATTTTTCTTTGCAGGTTCCGTCTCCTACATCCTTTTTGTATCTAACTGCACAGCGACGTTGCAGCCACAGCATGAACATGTCTTGTCCTACAACACGCACTTTACTTGCCGCTGGGGTTGTGCAATTGCTAATTACAACGGGGAATTCTGCCACCGCGGGGAACGTCTCCCTGCTACCGGTTTTGTATGAACTGTAGTGAAACGACCACACGCTCCTGTGTTGCTGAGCTCCTGCTCTGACACCAGGACTGCTTTGCTCTCCAGAGCTTGGAAAATGAGCTTTAAAACGCCTGGCAGGGAGGGAGGCAGGAAGCTTCCAAATCCATCCTGTTTCTTTGATGAATTTGTGGGACAACTGGAAGTATCTGCCTGTCCACTCTCCTCTCCGGTGTGGGTAATGAATTAAAATGTCAACTCTGGCTATTTCACTGCTTATTTTGGTAAGGACAGGTTTTTGTGTTAATATATCGGGGTGTGAAGTATCTTAGTTTGTAAAACAGGGAGACATGGATTTCTTCTCTCTTAAGGCTCCAGATCTCAAAAGTAACTTCCCACCTTGGTCTGAAGTCATCCTTCCTGTTTAGGGAGACTGGTTTGTGACATGAGGAAAAAAAAAAAACAGCACTTGCAAACAGAAACAAGAATGAGCTTTACACAGAACCACTGCAGCGACTTAATTCAGCCTTAATAGTTCAGGAATTAGGGGTAAAATAATCTAAAGGGGTTGTTCCACGAACTCCAAGCAGCTACAGAGGTGCTGAGGGCTGCCTGTGGCAGATGACAGGGGCTGGAGACGAGCAGGGAT